ATAAGTTACGACGACTACTTAATGCTCGTGTAATTATAAAGTTGACTCTCGTTTACATTTATGGAGGCGGCGAGAAAAGAGCGATCTCCTTTCACAAAAAACGCTACAATCTTTTCAGGGTGTGCTTTATAATTGTTATTTTGAGGGCGAAGAAGAATCAGTGGTGAACAACATACCGCACTTTAAACTTTTTCTGTTTCCGGTTTTAATTACCAGCGTTAATGTAATATTGAATTAAATCACCTTTTTGGGAAATAAATATTAAATCGAATTTGTGGCGAGTTTTTTAAGCTATTAACAACTGACGGTAAGTTATTTCAACGTCAAATTATTTTTGGATGAGCCACAAAATACCAGATCAATAACAATATTTCAATTCATCATGGATTATCAATTATCATAAAAAAAATTATATATATTTTACATGACAAAAAAAAACTATTTATGTTACTGCAAAATCTTTAATTTTCTAGATAAATTTTAATGAAAATTGTCAAAAATGAAAATAACAGTTTTCTCTTCCTGTTTTATTTTTATGCAGTTTCAAAAAATGAAAAATTCTCAATACTTTAAATCTCTGGTCAAATATGACGGGTGATTCAAATTCAGTGTTTTATATTGTCGTCAACCAGCATTAGTGAAATGCGGTATGTGGTGCGAAATTATTTTGCCTCGTTTGCGATTGAAAGCGAATTCAAACATTAATAAACAAGCTCAGAGGGGATTAAAACAAAAAGCGGCGGCGCGTCGCAAACGCCGCAGAATTTTGGCACCTGCGAATGTGTGAGTATTTATTTATTTTTCGGGGCCGAAAATTACATTTTTCCATATTAAACGACGCGCGCGGCGGGTGTGTGCGTGCGTGTGTGCTTATTTGGATGAAAATAATCCTCCTTTTGTTTGGCCACTTTTAAAAATCAGCAATCTGTGAAACTGGCACACCCTAATGGATTTCATAAATAAACAGAAATATAAATAAAACAAATATAAAGCCGGTGCAAAACAAACGCGCGCCGCGATGTCAGTCAGCGAATGTGTTGCCATAAGTTGATTCGGGCCATTTTTTTTTATCAGCTCGTGTGGACACGACGGAATAAATGTGAACGGGTGAGCGAGAGCGCGATCCAATCTCATTATTCAGTCCATCTTTTTCCATTCGGAAAGAGCGAGCACGGAAATTATTCATTTTTTCAACCAATATTGTTGCTTACTGCGGGCTTATTTGATTAGCACATTGGACGCGGCGTGCACTTGAAATGAAAAAAACAGAGAGGGAAACAGCAGCCGAGTGCCCATATCACTTTGACATTTTTAATTCGCGGCACAATGGACCAGCAAACACACACGCGGCTCTCTTTCTCTCTCTCTCTTTCGCTCTATTTGTGCGTGTGATGCATCCACATGGCCGCGTTTTCATTATTTTTCGGCACAAATGAAGTAATAACGCGCGCGCCGCACGGCTCGTATTCTTTTTTTATCGGAATTAAACAGAAATCAGATCGCACCCACCGCGAGTTTTCGCAATTTGAATGGCACGTCCGCCGACCGTGCTCGCGACACCCCCAAACCCCCTAGCTGTGCCAATATGTAGAGGGCGAGTTAGGTGTAGTTTTGAAAATTTTTTCATGTTTGTTGAGATATAATTACAAACCTTGGATATTATGAATTGAATGGTAACTTCAATGGGTGTTATGATTAAATTAAAAATTGCAATAGTAAACAATTATGAATGATCAATATTTCTAATTAAGTAGATTTTCAAAAATCCTCTTAAAACAGATGTTGAGTTGTGGCCAATTTTTTTTTTTTATTATTTTATTGCGTAGTTGTATGGAAATAAAACAACAAAATATTTTGCAACATTAAATACATTATTTATTATATCAATTCATCCCAATTTGACGATTTCAAGTAAATAAAGTAAAATTTCTTGGACATGAGAAGCCCTCTTTAGTCAATACAGATTAAAATAGTAAAAGGTTTAATACTTAAATTCTTTAGTTTAATAATAGATGGCTTTGAAAATTGCAACTATATGCTGTTTGTTTCTTTTTATCCAATGTAGATCATATTATTTAATAAGACGACAGTGCGGACAGTGGCACGCAGATCAAAGGTCAGTAATTGTTAAATTTGCCGTTTAAATACAATATACAATTCTATTTGTAAAAATTTTAATAACCAATTAATGTAAAAATAATTAAATAAAGATAAATCAAATAATCTTTTCAATAAAAAAATAACATTAAAACCCCAAAACAATTTAAAAATAAATTATATAATTATATGATAAAAGAAGCAAAATGTAAATTTAATGTTTAAAAAAACTTTAAGATCTATTTTTATATATTTAAAACGTAAAAGTTTTAAAATGTAATTTTTAATTTAACAACTTTAAATACTCATATAAAGATAGTTACTGCTATAGAAATGTCGCTGCATTGCTTTAACAATTTTAATCGTTTACACTCCACATTATAATACAATTGTACTACTTAATAGATAAAATTCTCGTTATATATTTTTTTACCGACATTAATAATTATTGTTAGTACAGTGTAATATCATTCAAACGGAGAAGAGAATATTGACACACACAAAAAAAAGTTAAAATCAGGTCCTTGTGTAATAATTTTTCCATTTAAACACTATATTTTTACAGCAGCCTCCTTTTCAGGCGAAAAAAAATATTTTTTTTTTATATTTATGTAAATATTGGAAACCATAAAAATTAATTTTTTTAACAATTTTATTCACTAGCTACAAAATAAGCATACCTGACAACGAATATTCAAAATTATTTTGGAATTAATGCAACACTGTATGCAACCGGCACGTCTCTGAAGTAGAGCAGGTTGCATTAAAACTTTTCCGTCCCTTTTGATTTCTATGGTGAAAAAAAACTTTCCCGATTTTTAGACTTTTGATTGATTTTTCCTGATTTCCCACATAATAAAAAAGACAATTAACGTCCGAGAGTGGAGATCGACCGAGTGGCGGGCTCCCCGTCCGACCTCAAATCACACGAGTTGGCATTGAATCAGCAAACAAACAGCGAGCACTGATATGGAGTGCGCGTTGTGTCTGCGTTGGCTAGGGTGGCCTGGCAGCCAGGGTGGACGGGCGGCTAGCGGCAGATGTGGATAACATTGATTCCGAATGATTGACACCGCAAAACGCATTAAAATGGGGCTGGGTGGTGCGTGTGCGAGATCGCGAATCTCCCGAGACTGATCAGACTGATGATGCCGGCACCGCAAACAGCACACATACTGCATGCGCCCTCGCGCGTTTAACGTATTTGTGTGTGTTTTATTTTTTCATCATTAGCCTCCTCCCTTGTATTGCGTGGTGTCACCCGCGATTTCGCAAAACATGGGGTCGCCGTTGCTGATCAGAAATTCATTTACCCGCACAAAGCCTAGAAAATTTGGAGAACTGTTGAAAATGTGACGTTTTAAGATTGAAATTTGCTTTAAAAGGTCAAGACACAGTAGTTTTGATGAAAAATGTCTCAAAAAGTTTTTTTTTTATATATTTTGAAACAATTCTTTTCTGATTAATATCTAAATAATTTCTTGTTCATTAATAATCTAGGTATTTTAATTTTATTTCTGTTCAAAATTTAATATCATCATACTAAGTATTAAGGCCAATGAGGCAATGCACTAATCACCAAAATCTCTTTAAAATATTAAATCTTTTTGCTGCAAGTTTTTCAAAAAAATAATTATATTTCCAAAATAACAATTTGAATATTAAAAATAAATAAATTATTGAGGGTTAAAATTTTTAAAAGGTCTCTTCATAGAATTATAAAAAAATTGAGTTCCTAATTAATGATTATTCAACTATAAATGCTGAAATAAACTAAAATCGATTTATTGTTTAAATTAGGCAAATCACACATCACACTATTACAATTTCATAAAATTTGTCTGTAAAATGAATATGTTCTGTAGAATCGTCTGCTATTTAAAAAAAAAGCATCGAAGTAAGTTTCTCAGCCAAGCTGAAAAACATATTTTCAGCAAAATGAATATTGCAATTCTCAATTAATTATTTCTACCAAAAGATTAATTTAAATATTTTCTAGGTTTTTATATTTTTTTCTGATCAATAAGGGTTTCCCCAAAGATACAAACACATGGAAATAATTTCCAATCTAAAACATATTACGCGAACGTGTTGTGCCGTTTGATATATGATTATGTGCACACGACGAGTGACGCCGCATTTCATACTACTTTCCTCGGCAACACACACGGCCGTTTTATTGCCCCGCCGATGCATGACAAGTTTTCCAAATTGTAAATTATTATCCGGACCAGCTCATTAGCTTGCGTGGATGCGATGTGTCCATCTTTTTTCCGCTGACTGTGCGCCCCGGCATTTTTGCATCCACGCACCGCAATTAATGTGAATTTGTGCCCGCAAACTCACACGCCACACATTTCTATAATTTTGTCATGCTCGGAATGCGTAAAACGTTCCGATTTTTATATTGAGTGGAAAAATGGTTTCAGCAGCAGCAGCTCACACATATGCTAAATATTTAAAAATCCAAATAAAAAGTTAAAAACTGTGTAATATTGCAAAAATAAATTGCACGCACCAGGCACGCACCAATTCAATTCAGACATCTGATAAAAAAAAAACTCAGATAACCGAAATTCAAGAAATATTTGAAGATTACAAATTTATTATAATTTAGAAAAATGAAAATTGAATCATATGAATTTACAAACTAATGAATTTATAATTTTTCTATCCGCCACTGTTAAAATAATACTGGTAATTTGGCCAATTTCTTTCCAATTTAGTTCTAGCTTTAGAAATACTCGAACTTAAGTGCAAATTAATGTTTGGCTCACCATAGCTCACCCCTAGATTAGGACCCTCAAGATGTTTCAATAAATTTGGAGCCTTATGCTTTGTTTAAAGTTGCCTAATCTATTACAATAACTACTATTTTCTATTACTCAAACACAATCAGTTAATTTTTATATTTAATCTTCTCTGAAAAAATATTTATACAATATTTGTCTGTAATTGTTCAGAAAATATTTAGATTTTCAGTCTTCTTATACAAATATACAAAATCACAAATTTACAATATGCATAATTTTTTTTAACACATCCCTAGTCAGAGATATAAATCGGAGAGCTTTCGGTAAGCCCAAAGTCATCATCAAAATCAATCTTTTCTGGTTCATTCTTCTGCTCATTTCTTGATGGTCCAGGTTGGTTCTCTGGAACAACAACTTCCATTTCTTGTTCTATGTCATCCTTTGGAAGTTTACTCGCTAATTCCTTTTTGCTCTTCTTCCTCGGTTCTTTCTTTGATTTCAACTCGTCCGCCATCTCGGCCAAGTAATTTTTCTAGAATACAATTTGTTAAAAATTTACAGTGATTCACAATTGAAATATAATTACCAAAATTGGATTTCTTCGAGCAAGAAGCTTCACGTCTTCAGGGTTGACAGTGGTTCTTTTGGCATGCCTTGAAAAAAATTAAAATGTTACATTTCTTAAAATATTTAATTAATCTTGGATCTGTACTTGGAAAAAGCTTCGACGTCACTGCCAGCCGCTTGCATTTTCTTCCACACCAACTCTGTGATGAGGTTCATTGACTCTTTCGTGAAGGTGAACTTCATGTTTTCGCTGACCTCTTCAATCACTTTACGTACCTCGAGCACCAGAGCAAGTTTCAACTTCTGCAATAATAAATTCCGCAATGAGACATGAGAGACAAACATTGAAAATTACTTAACTTAAGAAATAGATTTGATTAAACTTGCCTTTTCGTTGGTGAGCTCACTTATTTTGTTTTCCATTTTGATCTGAGGAAAATCAATTAACAAAAACTTTGAAAACTTAATAATTGTTGTATGTAATATTTTCCTGGCCAGCTGGAAATAAATATGCGCCAAACCAAAGGGGAAGGAGGAAGGAGCCTAGCCTTACTTCCCTTTTCAGCCACCAGAGGGCAGCAAATTCCAGCCCGCATGTCCGCATGCACAGCATGTTCTTGTTTGTTTTCATCCGGCTTTTTTGGTCCTCAGTGGTTTCTCGTCGATTTTTCCCAAATTAAATTTCTATTGAATGCCAATTTTCACTGAAATTAAGTGAAAAATCATGGCTGAAGTTCTCCTAAGTGAGGCTGAGAAGACGTACATTCTGCACGGTGTTCGGGTAATTTAATTATAAATTTTCTGCAAAATTGAGCTCTTTTTTTCAGTTTAGTTTTTTTGTATATCATAAAATATTTCTTTTCTAACAGTTTATGTATGGAACTGTCAATTAAATCCAAATTAATACAAATTCTGTAATTTTCAGGCCGATCTTCGGAATGACGGTCGAACATGCTCGGATTTTCGGCCGATGGAACTCGAATTGGGTCTTGTCGAAAACGCCAACGGCTCTGCCCGTTTGCGTTTAGCAAACACAGACGTCCTGGTTGGAGTCAAGTGCGAAATCGACAATCCCTACGCCAGCAACCCAGGAGAAGGCAAACTCGAATTCTTCGTTGACTGGTCTTTAAAAATTTTACCTTATTCTGAGGCTTATTGTAATTAAATTTAAAAATTCCAGCTCAGCCAATGCGACGCCACAATTTGAGGGTAAAGGTGGCGAGCAGCTGGCGAACGAACTGGCTGCCCTGATGTCCAGGGCGTACCAGACGAGGGAGTCGTTTGATTTGAAATCTCTTTCGATTATCAAAGGAATGAAGTGCTGGAAACTGTGCATAGATGTTTTGGTAATAAATATTAAAAATTATAATTGAAAACAGCAAAAATTTAAAAATTATATTGATCGGTTTGTTAAAAGGAAAGAAAAAAATCACATTGAATTTCAAATGTCAATTCAAAGTTTTTTGTGCTTTTCTTTCCTTTCATAAAGAATTAATGGGAAAAATATATTATTCAAAAATTATGATAATTTTTCAGATCCTGGAATGTGGAGGCAGTTTGATAGACGCAATTTCAATGGGTGTCAAGGCAGCTTTGGCCGATACCAAAATCCCTAAAGTGTCCGTCATAGGCAGCGACGGTGGAGCTCTTGAGTTGGAACTTGCAGATGAAGCTGATGGTCGAGAAGAACCATTAGAATGGACCTCAGCCCCATGTCTTGTCACTTTAAATAAGGTTAGTAATTTGTTATTTTTTCAAAGAAATTTCAAATTTTTGTAAAATCTTATCTATTTTCTCATTGAATGGAAAGTATTTATTAATCAAAAATAAAATTATTTAATCATAGAGTTTAATCAAAGGATAGCCTTGTTGGTTATAAATAAACTATGTAAAGAATATGAACGTTTTTGTAACTGAAGATAATTTTCTCTCAATTTGCACAAATTATTTCTACTTCTTTTGATACTCAATGTTTGTTTCAGCTGGAAGATTCTTTACTGGTTGACGCCAGTGCAGAAGAAGAGGCTTGTTGCGCAGCTGCCCTCATAGTCGGTGTTTCTCCAAACAGGAAAATCACCACAACTTCCATTCCAGGCCACGGAAGTTTCTTGGCGGACCCTACCATTTTTTCAAAGGTTTTTTCATAAACATTCAATTTATGTTCAAATTTTTAATTATTTCGTTCCAAAGGCATTGAATTTGGCTGTTGACGTTGGAGTGAAACTGAATTCAGCAATTGAAGCTTCCATCCGAAGACACCAAACGATGAAACCTGCGCCCAGAGGTTTCCTCGACTAGGTCAAAGTGAGTACAGAGTTTATTTTGTTTTATAACATAAAATTGTGAAATGCGTATTTAAATATGGTTAAAACAAATTTATTGTGTGACTGCACAATAAACATTCGTGTAAACATCACCATACACCATCGTAATTGTACAAGCAAGGCAGCTAGGTCGTAGTAGTTTATTGTCTGCACTAGGTGTATATAAAACTAGATCTTGTACAATATGTACATTAACAACAACATCTTTAACTGAAGGAAAAATAATATGCCCTCGAGAAGCAAACGGAAAGTGGCAGGAATTTAGCAAAAGGGCAAGAATATGATTTCATACCAGTGGCGGAAAAAAAATCAATAAAAGGGAATTATTTCGAAATGACAGAGAAAAAAAGACCTAAAATCGAAGGCACGCGTGTGTCTGATATTTCAGGGGCGTTGGAAAATAGGGCTAAACAATCCTGCAGGTTGACGGGTCGGATATGTAAATGCTCGGGTTGGAGACTGGAATGGACGATTTCAAACTAGGGCGAGCCGGACGGGAACTCGTTAGGCGGCGGTGCACTCGCGCAGGGCACGGTTGCCCAGGGGCTGAGGGGGTCTGTAGTTCTTGACCACGAATTCCTCGGACTCTCCAGAGTTGCTCAGGTGGCGCATTTGGGCAAGCTGAAAAAAAAATCAATTGATTAAAAATATTTTCAAAAAAGGCGTCTCCAAAAATTACTTTCATATTCTTTAATTCAAAAGAACGCATAATTTAAATAATAATAACAAAATAAAATCACTCATGAGCATTGAAATGGGTTAATTAAAGATTCGCCTTTTTCCCGCTAAAAGCATTTTTGAACCATTCCGATCAATATAATAATTTGAATATCTATTTTGGTCAAAATTAGTATTTTCATTTCAGACAAAGAATTTAAAATGCAAGAATAAATTATTACTTTTACTTAAAAGTGCCAATAATTAAAAAAATAAAATTCACCTGCTGCTCTGTGACAGTGATGGGCTGTTTAAAGACAATCCAAGTAACGCACTCGTTGCACGGCGGAGTGGTCAGCGAGCCCAAGTAAGTCCAGTAACCAAGGCCGTCTGAATTGCCGAGAAAGTTCATTTAACATACGATTATGAGTCGGTAAATCCTTCCTTTTTACCTGGCAAGAGCTTGGCCGGGTCGATGACGTCAGTGACTTCTGTGAACTGTCCCTTGAATTTGATCTCGGCCAGGCTTGCCGCGATTTTCTCCATCTCCGAGTTGCTCTCATTCCCGACCTAAGCATACACAATTATTTTACAAAGATTTCGTATTTGAATTTAAATTTCACCTCAAAGAAAACTCCAAGCACGGCAAGGCCGTCAGGGTGTTGAGCAGCTTCGGCGAAACTTTGGTATTTCGTCGTGTTCCAGTGAACCAAGTGGAGCTGCAATCGGAACAAGTTGAAGGTGTTGCATGCAAACTTATTATTATAGAGAGACGCTAAATAATCAATTAGGACGGCTGTGTTGACACGTTCGATCTGTGTCTGTGCGTCCGTCCCGTGAAAACAGACGCTGACAGTTGATTAGACTCAGTAATGGCGCCATTACTTATTTATTTGTGTTTGGACGTGGCCCATCATTAGAAATGACGAGTTTTGACAGCCATTATATTTGCCATTGTCACCCCCATTTGAAGACAGCGAGTTTTTCCAACGGATTGGTGACAATTTCTATCTCTCAAAAACGGGTTGTAAAGAAAAAAAAATCCAAATTTAAAATTATTTTGATGGTTAGAATTTGGTAAAAGTGAATGCAAAGAAAATTATATATTTACTGTGAGAATGCTTATGAAATCATAAAAAATAAATTTTTATAATCAAATAATTTAATTTTAACAAACTATTTGAGCTTCTAAGCATTAACAATTAAGTAAATAGAAAAGGTGTTTCTTGATTTATTTATAATTTTTGTATCTTAAAATTTTTAAATATCAATCGTCTTGCTCTTTAAATTAATTATTTTTAATTTACTTCATTGGTTAAGAAAAAATAAAACAATGTTTTAAATAAAATTTCAGCTGTTTGAGTTTAAAAATGGCCTAAATGAAGCAAATTTTTGGAAAAAAAATTTTACATTTTTAAATAAGAATTTTATCCCCCAACAGTTCTTTACTTATGCGTCTATTTGTCATTTTAAACCAAGTAATTAACTTAAAATATTTAAATCGAATTACCTCTCCGGCGAAAGCCTTGCCGTCGACCGTGTGCTCGGATCCCTCGTCGGTTGTCTCTCCCCAGTGGCAATGGAACTGCTCCAGCCGGTAAATATCATCGCCCAGGGGTCCACCCTCCAAAACTGTGTTCAACCATTTATATTTAATTTTGAAGTTTCAATGCAAACAAATCAATTTATAGCGCACCAGACTCGGTCTGCGGCGCCTCGACCTTCCATCCGTGACCGGTGTTGAGAATTCGCAAGCCGGACTGTGATTCGTAAACGGCGGTTAACTTCCTGACCTCGAGGTCCGAGTCGCTGCTGGCGATGGCCGTGCAGATGTCCACTGGACTCTGACGGGCTCCGCCGGCCTGAGGGAACAAACGGGCCCACACCTCCGGGCCTGAAACATCAGAAAAGCCGACAAAATTTAAATAAAAAATTTTATACGATTTCAATAATTGCTAAATATTTATTTTTAATATTAAATTATATGTTTTTTATGATAAAAAAAAAGAATTTCTTATAGATTAAATTCAATGGTTCCCTCCCAACAATTGTTTATCTTTCAATACGTGTAAAATTGTGTGTAACAATTAATTTCATGAAGTATACAAACAAATAAAATAATTTCAATGTAATCAAGGAAAATTGTTGCAAGGAAAAAAAGTGGCTTGCTTTTAACTTTTTGCCTATTTGACTCAATTTTTAAACTTTCAGTCTGAAGTGAGATTTCAAAACTAACGTCTTTAAATCAATAAATATTATCAAATTTGCCCTTTTATATTCTTAAAATTGCACTGATTAAATTCTATTTTTAATTTTATTAACAATTTTGCAGAGTGGAAAAATAAATATTTATCTTTTATAAATTTAAACCTAAATGTTTTCCAGCTCAGATTTCATTGATTATTGAAATGTTTTTTGGCGACCGCGGATTTCGCAACTTAACACTCGCACTTATCAACAAGTAAGTCACATATTTGCCAGTATCATTATCCAATTGTGGCACCGCCAACGATCTGCAAGTCCGCGCGAGAGAGAAACGTGACGTAATCTGCGTCGCACGAATTAGCAGCCTCAATAATGTGTGTGTCCCTTATATATTCAGAATAAATTTATGCGCCCCGTGCACATGTGGCAGTCGACGCTGCATGAATCTTTCTCTCTCGCACACTATAACACAGAGGCTTGATTTTGAAAAGTCATTCTGCACGCGGTGCAATGACCTGCATCCGTTGCATAGCCAGAGGAAATAAGTCATTCCGAGCGTATTGAATTTCCCCCGAAGAGAATTAATAGATCATGGCCTCGAAAAACAATTCAAATTTGTTTAATTTTATTTTATTTAAAAAAAAAACTAAAAGTGGAAATTCGAAGGACGCTCTTGAAACAAAATTTTCGAGTTATTCGACGCTATTTTTTTCCTGGTCGGATGCGTCACGCCGGAGTGAATGACAAGTCAAACATGCGAAAGTAATAATTAATATTATCACAAAACATACACACTCTTGACATTGCGGTGCTTAGTGAGTTAAAATTAACTTGAAAATAAATCACAACGAATTTTTTAAAGGAAATAAAAAAAGGGGGGAAAACGCATTCAAATTTTTTTAATCAATTCCTTATTGATATCTGTCAAATCAAGTCTTCACAACTATTTTCCTTGCAGTTTTTAGATAGTATTTAATTGAAATAGTATTAAAATCTTTTACCAAAACAAAAACTTCTCAATGTAAATTGCAAGGTCAGGCAATCCTAATATTTTATTTTGCCTAGTAAATTATGGTGATAGCAAGTTCATTGGATAAAATTTTCATTTATTTTAGTACGGCGGATTTTGAGTATTATGTAATATTTTAAAATATTCTCGTGAAAATGAAAAAAAAAATTAATATCTGAGGCTATCCTTTTGATGTCTCATTGAAAATGCAGACAAAAAATGTCATATAAAAAATCACTCAGATTTTAAGCTGTTGAGACTCGTTGAATAAAACAATTTGAGTCCGATTTGAATTGCATTGAATTTGCATTAGTTTAATTCATTCGCGTTTCTCATCACATCTCCTTTATTTCTGAACATAACACAAAAAATTTAAATTTACATATTTTTACTAAAAAGAGAAACATTGATATTCTAAACGCTTCTTTTCACATCTTTTCGAGCTTGGGTTGCTCAATTTTGTGTTTTTGTTGCTCTGGTTTTTCAATGAGGCCATTTGTGCAGCCGAGGCAAAACACATCTCGTCCGTGTCTATTTCTAGCGGCACAAGTCAAGGGGGGTTTAACACACGCAACAGGTTGTACAAAAGCACTTGTTCTGCCCTTGCATATTTAATGAAATTCCCACAGCGCAGGGTCGAATTCAACTTTTGTCACACCGCGCGCGTCATCGTTTGTCTTCCGGCGAATTCCCGAGAATGAAGCCGTCACTCATTCTAGATATTTGTTTTTATTATATATATTTTTCGCAGTGAGAAGCGAAACCCGCCGTGCCGGTTGTTGACGCGCGCGCGAGCCTCCAGTCTTACTGTTCGATTGTATTGCATCCTTGATCTCGGCCCCAGCCTTTTAAATGTCAATTTCACTACTTGTCGCCGTTGCGCAATCCACCTTTTATTGTTTTGACCGTCAAGACAATTATGTTCCATTATGCCTGTGCCTTATTATAATGTTCTTGCGTTTTGATCGCATCAGAAATTCCAACTCCCAGCACTTATCTTTTAAAATTTTCTTCCTGAAGTATCAAAATTACTTTTTTTTTCATCTTTTAGATATGAAGCTTAATATGAATTTTAAAATCAAATTAAAGTTCATTTTCCCAAACTTATTGGCATGATTTGAAAATGTTTTATTTCGTTGATCAGATTAAAAAAAAAATCAGTATAAAAATTTTCCATCAAATTTATATTAGAAAATCTAGTTTTCACTGTTAATGAAAGCTATGACTCTATGGAAATGACCTACATAAATGACATAGAGATAAATTTTCGTCGAAATCACTCTCAAGCCAATTTTATCTTAATAGACTTGTTCAAAATTACTGCATTTCTAAATATTCACATTAAATTTTGTTCAAAGTGTCGATTTGAAATATTATGCAACAATTAAAAAATTTTAAAAATGTGGCATGATATTTATTTATGATTTTGAATATTGTGTAAGCAAAATTCTTGTAAGTATGCATGTAAAAAGAATAATTATAATCTGCCTTTATTAAATTGTTAAATTGAGTTCATTATTGTAAAAATAATCATTCAAATTAAGAGAGTTTGGGATCCGTTTTTGTTATCTCATTATAATCTATTCAAATCCAGCCATTTCTCCTAGCATGACACATGATCAATATTCACATTTTAAGATTTATTGAGGAGATTTGGCAAGATTTAGAATATGATCAATTGAAATTACATCTGATCACATCTTTATGCAATAACTATTAAATTATCATAAATAGCACGAGCTATTTAAAAAAAAAGGTAGATAGAAAAATGCGGAAAACAACGGTAAAAATAATCTGCTATTTTCAAAAACAAAGTAAACTATAGAAAAAAGTGTTTATCGCGGCTTGCAAAATTTTACAATCACACTTCATGTGTTTTGAGCAAAATATCTTCGGCTATATAAAACTCGCAGCGGTATTTAGCAAAAGAAAAGTGATAAAGTGGACAAAAATGTTGTATTCCCAGATAAACTATCTCATTTTTATCATAAGTAATTACAAGCTGTGAGGTTGTCAAAATAATTTTAACGCTTGCGAGAGTGCGTCGAACACTTTTTGCGAAAACCGAAATTGGTGCCCATAAATGTGTACAATATTCCAACCATGCACGCGGTTCGTGATTATTGGAGTGCGACTTCTTCTTCTTCGTATTTGAAATTTCCAAACGGCAAGAAAGAAACACTCGGCTGCAATCACGTGCAGATAAGGACTTGTGGACGCGTCTGGAATTTTTTTATTTTAAAACGCCCAGCTGGCGATTAAAATTCTGCGCAAATACTGCGGATGTGATTTAAAGGAAGTCGCAGCGAACAATTGTTTCCTGCGAAATTGAGTGTCAATATCGCACCTGCAAAATAATTATTACAAATAGTTTATGAAAAACAAGGTGCCATTTTTCCGAGCACGTGCAACTGTCGCAAATTAGTTCCAGCCAGTTGATTTTATTGCGTGTTTGCTCCGATTGTATTCACAATGTGTGCCGATGGATTAAGTGATGTTTACAAAATGTCGTTTTTCACGCAATTTGGCAATAAAGAGGTGTTAAATTTGACGACGACGATTATTATGCAGCGGAGCCGAGTGGCATTTTTTTGTCAGTGTTATGCAGGGCAACAAAAATTTATGCGGCTGTTTTGCTCGGAAAATGTGAAGCAAAAGCAGATGATTTATGGGGTGAGCTTGTGAGTGGCTTTAAGACCGCCACTTGCTGTATCGTTTGTGCAAATAAAAGGATGGGGAAATAATATGGCAGAGAAATCTCGTGAGAAAGTGAACTTCGTCAAAAAAAATTGCAAATAAAAATCATTAAAGCGCATCAACGTATTTTAAAGAGTATTTTAATAACTTACTAGTATCTACTTTTTAAAAATAAATTTTCTTGAAAATCTGTGTTAATTTTTAAATTTTATTTTATGAATTTGTATTGTAACAAAAACAAAACGTAAAAAAAATAATAAATCAGATTTGAAACTTGCAAGAATTATAAAAGTTTGTTAAGAGAAATTTGACTAATACTATTTTACCAAGAATTTTGTAGCCATAAAAACATCTGCGGCATCTGCGCTTAAGGGAGTGCCAGAGACTTGAAATGTGCATAGGTAACAACCAATGACATATTATAAATTTAAATCAAAGGCAATGAACCTTTGTAAAAAATTTGCAATTTGCCATACACTACTGGCCAGGGCAGCTGTTTCGACCAATCCAGGTCTCATCAGCTAGCCTGAGTGTTTAACGAGTAAGCTCGAAAGCGATTGACTGCTTATTAATAATTAATAATAATAATAATAATAATATTAATATTAATATGTCATTGGTTGTTACTTATGCACATTTCATGTCTCTCGCACTCCCTTAACGCGGATATTTTTATGGCTCATAATTAGTGGGGAGGTGATTTACTTTTTTCAAGAATTTTGTAGTTTTCATTTTATAAATCTTAACATTTTTAATTTTTTAAAGTTTTTACGATTATATAAATTTAATATTTCACTTTAAAAAAAATTAATTTTTCTTATATATTAGTTTTCAGTTTGTATTAATATATTAATATTACTTGATATCTGAAAATCACTTTGATGTTGTATCATCTTATCTGCTTAATTTCAGTTATGATGGATAACTCCGCATTTTAACGTTATTATTCCATATTAACATTTATTTCGAAGTAAATTATCTGT